GTACCTAAGGATCGAAACGTGGTGTTTCTAATTAAATTGTACTGGCCAGTTAGGTCGAAATTTCAATAAATTTGTATGGTTTTACTCATCACTGGCGACTTCATTAATTTTATCGTTACATAATTTTAATTTACCGAATTTCTATTATGTACATAATTTTAATTCACCGAATTTCTATTATGTACATTATTTTAATTCACCAAATTTTTATTATATGTATACATTCCCACATAGACAAGTATGTTGAAATGTATGTTAATAATATAATTAGAATGCAGTAGAAAATTGCGAATCATATTTTAATAAATTTTAATTGTGCATTATGTTGTCATATTGTTAACATATATTTGTATATTTTATAAAATAGCAATATATTTTACTATACTATAATCGTACAACTGCAATTATATTATATTTTTGACAAAATAAGCAGCATATTTTCGCAATTATTACAGCATTAAAATATCTTTTCATTTGTTGATAATACTCATATATGTCATATGAGTCCTAACAGCACAGCTCATTCAGAGGACATCCGACCCATACAGCACAGAAACTTTTCAGAAATATTTCAAAAATATTTCATGTGACAGATTGAAACATTTCATAAATATTGCGAAATGTTTCTGCAACAACTTTGAGACAACTCTGAAATAGCAAAATGTCCGCGATTCTTGCACTTGAAACCTTATAGAAACCTTATTGAAACCTTATAAAAAGTTTGCTGAAAGGTTACTAATAAATCTGCAACTTTTCTGAAATATTCTTAAAAGGTTACTGAAATGATTGAACCGTTTCTGAAATATTGCTGAAAACTATTTTAAATAATTCTGAAAATTTTTTATAATATTGCAAACATGGCTGCTTTCGCGACAAAATTAAAATATGATCCAGATTAAAATGATCCTGCACTGGGATTGTTCAAATCTGAAATTTCATTGAATACAATTTCAATGAGATTCCATGAAATTTCAGATTTCACTAATCACAGTGCAGAATCATTTTAATCTGAATTATATTATTTTGATTTTGTCGCAAAAGCAGCCCATATTACAAAACTGTTATTCAAATAAAAAAATATATATTTCAGAAATAATATTTAAATTTATTATATTTATTGCACACAAATATACGACAAAATTTACACTAAAAAGAGTATAAAAAATATATCTAACGTTGTACATTTTTTAGCTCAGTGTTGCAATTTTTTGTCAATGATTCTCACTAAAAGGTCGAATGTTAGATCTCTAGAATATATATAAATTCTACTTATAATAATATGGTATTTTAGCTTTAGGATATAGAAGAAACATATTTATAATTTTTATTAAATTTTTATTTGAGTAGTATATTGTTTTAATAGTTGAATCGTTACATAAAATAAAAATAGTTATCACATAAAATAAAAACTTTTTTACAATAAAGTAAAAATTTGAATTCTATTTGGATAACATTGTTTATTGTTATTCTAATAACATAATTAAAACTTCCAACAATTTTTAAATGAATTTTAAGTGAACTTGCTAAACTCTAATTATATTTATTTGATAATTTTAACTTTCTTCTAAAAAAAATAAACTTTCAAACAAAATTCTCAAACATAAAATAAACTTTTTTCTAAATAAAAAAATAGTATTTTACTATAATATAAATCAAACATTATGCAAAATAACATTTGAATTTTGTTTGAATAATATATTATTTGTTCAGGTAATACAATATAAATTTTTAGAACACAAAGTAACTTCTTTTTTAAATTAAAAAGCAAAGTTAAAAGCGAAACATTTATTCCGATGGCTGTTCTTTTTGTTTTCGTTGTAATCGTTCTCTGAATAAATACAACGATTAATAAGTACTGCAATATTATATATATACATTTATAAATAATCTCACTTTTCATTAATAATATTTACTTACTCATCTCTGTCATGACGTAATTTGCCCTGGATGAACCATTTAGAGATGACTTTGATAATTTGTTTGTCATCCGTTTCGAATTTTGCATGAACACATTCTAGATAAACAAGGAAATTTATTTTATTAATATAGAGATTACCTTTTGTTCAAAATTATATTATTGAAAATATTGCGTGCTTACATATAAAATAATTATTTAATTATATTGATACAATATAATGAAATAATTATTTTATTTATTTTGAAAAACGAGAAATTAGTAGTTTAAATATTAACATACTTTTTATGCATTTAGTTAACAATAAATCTTTGAACGGCTCTTTCTTCATACTTTTTCCATTCCAGCAATATAACGTTGAAAGATGATTACTAATAAAATTTTTGAGAATAACAATTATCATGTCATGAGACGTTTTTCCATATTATAATCTGCTGTTTCTTCATCTAACTCTGTACTTGTATTATCATCTGTATTTGCATCATCAATATCACTCTCTATCAGTTCTTCATTCGATTCTAAATCATCTACTGTATTGCTATTAATTAGATTATGTACACATTCTTCTTCATTACTGCTAATAAATGTTTCTATTGACTCTAAGTTATTAGTTGTATTATGATGTGGTAATTCATCATCTCTCGATTCAAAATTATTTTCATTGATATTTGGAAAATTTGAAACATTTAATAAATCAGAAACAGTTTTATTTACAATAATTCTACGAATATGTCTTTCCGAAAGTGAAAAATATTTTTTACGTTTTCTATCCATTTGAACAGTAAAATTATATACACGTTTTTGGCCAAAATTTTATCTTATAAGAAAATTAGAAAAAAGGATATACACATACCGTAAAAGTAAAGCGAAGATGGAAAACTATTAATAATAAGAATATATATAATGATATATATTATGTAAAACTTCCTTCTATATAGTTGAAATGGCATCAGGTTCTAAAGCTCCTGTTAAATAAAAACGTTTTATTTTATTTTTATTATTGTATTAATAAAATGTACTCGTGCATTTATTATAATTTAACTGCTCGAACATATATTGTAATTTGTTAAGGTTTTTAAATGCAAAGAATTTTATGTAATATATAGAGTATATAAAGGAAATTATTAAAAATCTGTACTTACACATGTAACCTCAAAATTCAAGAACGAACAAAAATTAAAATTAGACAAATTCATCATATGTAAAATGAAAATAGTTTAAATAATGACAAATATACAGAGTAAAATTATGTAGAAAAGCATGCACCGGTTAAAAGTATCCAAAAATATACATGTTAAAATGCAGTTATAACCTCTTTTTTCGGTACTTTGAAACATTAATCATGAAAATAATACCTTGAAAGTTTTATGTCTGATTTCGAATTCTATCAAATAAGTAGATATTATTCCTTTATAAAACTTTACTATTTATTAGAACCAGTAGACAGTAGTGCTATCATAGCAGTCCAAGTCTATGCGGTTTAGCAAGCTGTTCTTGTCGTTGCCTGCATTCCACATCCGGAACCTAAAAAGCGGGAAAGAATTTGATTGGTTGTTTCTATATATATATATATATATATATATATATATATATATATATATACCCATACAGCACAGATTATTGCAATTATATTGCAGCAACGTTGCAATGTTGCAAGTTGCAATGCAACATTATAAAGACATTGCAGAAATATAGGTGCACAAAATTCCAGCACACTTGTAGCAACATGACATTAATATTTCGGAAATATTGCATGTAATCCAAATTCTATAATTTATATATTGTAATATATATAAATTAACTACAACGTATTTTCATTAATGATTTATTTACATGTATATATACCTGTATATGCAACATTAGATTATGGTTGCAATAACAATGCATTATTGCAAATTCATAACATTGCAATATTGTTGTAATATTTTGTGCAATCTTCCAAAAAACGGACATTTTAACATTGCTGCAATTCAACAGCAATGATGTAGCAACATTTTGCAGTGAATTTGCAATATTGCAATATTGCGGTGAAAGATTGTTGTAATGTTTTTGCAATCTATCGGTGCTGTATGGGTATATATATATATATATACATTAATATACATTTAATCTGTACAATAAAAGATATGAAAATAAATTTTTATAATACATACCGTCGACTATTTTGATTGATTTGTTATATAATATATATATGTATATACACTTATAATCACTATATTAAAAAATCGTTCCAGTTTTCAAAATTATTTCATATGAAAACTTTTTGCAACACTCATATATTAATTTTTCAAATTTACCACATGTAATAGATTTCAGAAACATTTCTGTTGCAACATTTCATATGACATATTGCAGAATTCTGTCAGAAATGTTGCACATGAAATGTGAAACATTGAAATGATTTTGAAATATTTCTGAAAGCTTTCTGTAACAATCGGTGCTATATGGGGAACATCCTCAGGATGTCCTCAGGATGCTCCCCGAGATACGTTGCTGTTAGGAAGGACGCAAATATTTATGCAGCATTTTCAATTTTAAAATTCTGTTATTATGCAGGCAATCAGCTGAAATGTGTCTATCTGGGTTATTTTAATTCATCGAATTTCTATTAATGTACATAATTTTAATTTACCGAATTTCTGTTATATATGTATATATTATTTAAATTCCTGAATTTTTTTTATGTACTAGATATTTTTCCATTTTTTATTTTACAATTGTCAAACTGTTAATCTTTACGGTGACAGTTATCGCTTTATGCTATTAATATAACAATACTAACCGAGACAACCAATTAGCATCGTGCAACAATTTTTCCGATAATTCCAGCCCGCGATAATCGACTTCCGGTTCTCGTTGCATTGTTCGGTGATTTCAGGAGATTCAAAATAAACTATATAAGAAACTTTAAGTATAAGATATATACGTACAAATATGTTATATTATAGAAGTATCATTGTTTTCAACTTATTCTGTGGTATTAAATTATTGAAACGTTTATATCAATAAATATTCATATATAGATATACGTAAAATACACACGAAATTACATGTATAAATGCCCGCGTTATATTTACTAATGACGTCATGACTGGTCACGTGTTCGCGCCTCGACAACTGTTTTGATAGTTCGTTGCAGCAAGCATTTGCGAAGATTTACGTGGGAATTCCCACATGGCATACTCGTTGCGCAGCGAATAATGAAAAAGTTGTTATCGACTTGAAGACGAGCGTGTGTCGTGAGAGTACAAACTACGGAAAGTATAGATATATATATATCGCATGTGTATAGTGGGCATGCGTTGCGTTCCACAGGTGTCGAATGATTGTGATTAGCGTTATTTTGGCTGTGACAGCATCGTTTTTAATATACACATTGATTAAAGTTATTGACAAGAGACGGGAGATATTAAGCATAAGGTAAGCATTGTCGGGTGTCACGAATATTGTATAGGTTAGCTTTTTGGTCTAAAAGACCATCAGCATGTAGACATCTCTCTCTTTTGTCTAACATTAAATGTTTATTCTAATCTTTTGCGTTGCTGAAAACCATATTCAACAAAGCTTCTAACTTTAATTTGTTTGTTTAATTATTTTTCAGTATGGAGAGACAATCAAGATTATCTTTGAAAAGAAACCGCTATCAAGAGAATGTCACAAATAAGGTTTCAGAATTAGTGGAGATATCAGATGACGAGAGCTCTGATTCATTAACGAATTTACAGTCAAATATAGAAGAAGTGAATTGTGAAAGCACAACAAGTGGAATGGCCTACATTTCAAATGCTGCGAAAGATAGTTTAAATCCTGTATGCAGTTTGACACATACGCATGATTTATCAGATGATTTAAGTAGTAGCAATGATGATGTTGTTGTGATTGATGTTCCGAATACTCCTAAGAATAATGGATCAATGTTTAATTGGAAGGACAGCTTTGCTAGTATGTCAAAGAGTCAAAGTAGCATGTCTTCCGTTCAAATATTGCATGATTCAAGACTTGAAAAGGAAAGAGAAATGTCAACCAAAAAACAAAAACTGTTTGATTTAACAAGTTCATATGATGACGATGATGATCTTGATGTGATGGGTTTGAACAATATCAAGGAAAAGGCTTCGCCACCTAAAGTTACGATACAACATGACATAATGATTGCTGGAACTAAAGTCACGCTCCCTGTAAAGCCATACCCGTGCCAGAAAGCAGTGATGAATAGTGTGAGTATTATAATTGTGTGATGTTGTTTTAACATTACTTCTTAGAATTTTATTAATTGTGTTAAAAATTGTATGTGCAGCTTATCAAAGGATGTGCGAAGGAAGAGCATTGTCTCTTGGAAAGCCCTACTGGTAGCGGTAAGACTCTGGCTCTTCTCTGTGGAGCTTTAGCATGGCAGCAGCAGTACAGTGGTAAGTTTATGACACATGTATTATCACATTCGATATATAACAAGGGTTTAAAACGAGAGCATTCAACATTTCCGAGTTATCATCTGTCATTGAAATCTTTATCATAATGTTTTCTACCCATTAACAAGGAACTATGTTTCATAATTAAACGATAAGATAATCCACGGATGTTTTTCTCAATTTATTCGTTCTCAAATTATAAATGTAATTATAAATGTAAATGATCTAAGTGTGTGCGAATTGTTGAATTGAATGATGCATGCTCTCGCGCGATCCATCATATAATATTCATTAATTTCCTACCAATCGTGCTAGTGCAGCGCTTTCTGCGCCACGATTATGCCTGTCCCTAAGATTTATCGCGGAGCTTCGCGAAAATCTCGTTTCGTCGTTGTGCCGTGTCTCGTGACAGCCGGTCGTTAACGTCAACCGACGTCCTAGCGATTTCTCTCTCTCTCTCTCTCTCTCTCTCTCTCTCTGTCTCGCTATATACACCCGCATATACACGCGCGGCCACAGCGATAGCTCTCGTCAGATTTTTGACTGTCGTGCGAATTTTGAAAATTAAAAAAGGGGTCGAGCCACCATCTACCTATTTCGCTTGTCTGCCCTCTGCCTCGAGACTGAGTATCGCCCTTATTAAAGTTCCTCGAAGTTTCGCGAACGTTTTGCTTTACCTCGTCAGAACTTTTTAAAAGTTTTCCGGATAATTTCTCAAGGCGTGTCACCGCGATGTCAGACGTTTGTCGCGCTCGTCAGCTGATTAGTTCCACGATCTTTATTTTTATATTAATGCTATATATATTATATATTTATACGCTATATTATATTTTTTAAAGAGCGTATTATGTTAAACAACTTGTTTGAAAATTCGACGTATTCTACGAGAGGAATTTGCATTGCTGGCGCAACAGCATTGAAAGTGCATTCTTATTTGAAACGGCAAATTTATCAGCATTTTATATTTAATCCGTTAATGCGAACGAAATTAAATATCATATCGCACGGATACTAATAATATGATTTTTTTTTTCAACGAAATAGCATAAAAATGAATCCAGCACACTCGTGCCGCACTAATGCACGGATTGTGAATAATATTGCACGATTCTCATTGTCAGACATAAGCGCATTACACACCGAATATACGCAGTTTCGAGCATATTTAGCTGTGTGTGCGGAAAGAAGGCGCGGATTTTCTCGTTTCCTCGTCAAGGGAGAAAGTCATTCCGATCGTTAGCGGTTTCTTGGCTATTACGATATTAATTTAAATTATTTAACCATTTATGCGCACACAACATCGCCGTAATAATCGTTACGATCTGGAGTCACTGGTAATTTCCGACTTTGTACGCGTGCATGCAGCTAATTGTTCGCCAATTCGTACAATTTCTAAACAATTAGATTTACTTTCGCGATTCGCGATGTCTCGTCCCGTTCTCGCTCGTACCAGTCCACGAAAAACAGCGGGGCCGAACATAATTGCATTTGGTTATGATAATGCGATGAGAATATAATTTTGTTCAATGTCACGTTCGATGGCCACGATTATTTCGCCTCCAGCAACAGGATATTGATATCTATTGATGTTCTGTGGGAAATATTGCCAAAAATACGGTCAGCATAACGGTGTAAACTATAACAATCTGTAATGTATTTATACGCTTATAGGATGTATCTAAATAAGCGCGAAAAATTTTAGTAGATGATTTTTTGTCGAAAATTAAAAGAAATTTCTCTTATATAATATTCTTACATCCCTCTTTGAGGAGTTACACTTTTCTAAAGAGGGAGGTAAAAATTAAATTTTTTTAAAATTTCAGATAAATTAAAAAAATAAAATATTCACCGAAAAATATTCACCAAATTTTATTTTTTTTTAATTTGTCTGAAATTTGAGAAAAAAATAAAAACTTAATTTTTATCTCACTTTTTAGAAAAGTGTAACTACTCAGGGAGAGATAAACAGTATATGAAGAGTGTTTCTATATAAGAAACAAAGAATTATGTCCTAAAATTTTTCGCACTTATGTAGATACACCTATAACCAAATATATTTGAAAGAATAGTAGGCTACGAAAATATCCTATACATTGTTGTGAATCTTTTTGCTTCAGCGAATCGAAATTTCGCGCGAATTTTTCTGTTGTATACTATGTTTCTAATTTAGCATAAATGTTCTCTATAACACATGATCGTGCAAATTCGTCGAAATAACTGTTCGTCACTTCCCCGAAGTAATTTATACTTTTATTAGCCTCACAGTCGCTTTGTCTGAAAATCATATTATCGTTCGTAATGTACAATCTATAACATCAAGGCGATCGAGTCATTGCTTTCTTTGCTCAAGTTTCAACGGAGGCACGTTTTCGGAGACTATAATCTTTTCTCTTCGAACGAGTAGCTGAATTATCCAGAATCGTTTAACGAGGGTGGTTTATCGTACAATTCTATTTTAATATTCCGCTAGGAATCCGCGCGCGTGTCGCGATTGATCGAGGAACAATCGTGTCTCAAAATGACCTTATTTACTATTTGACTGGGAGAACTACTTTTCGGATAGGAATAATTTAGAATATCGTTGAAATGCGAGAATATTTTTTTCGATACTAATTCGATTCCAACAAAATTTCGTTTGATTTTATATGTATATTAATAACGGGATTTTACAAAATCTCGTTGGTCAAATTCATATCCGTCGATACTTCGATATCAAGAGCTACCTACGTTTGTTACGAAACGTTTGGTCGAAACGCACAATCGCGACAATGAAACTGGAAAGTATTCGATGAGGCGAATACGATCGCGTGCCATTTCGAGCTGCACGAGCGGCGAATTAAATGTTCCGCGATGTTAACGTCAAATTTGCGTGAGTGTAATTTCGGATGTCTACGCGAAAAACGACGCAGGACAGACGGACAGGACATCTTCCGGGATGTATATACCGGAAAAGACAGCACGAACCGTCGTCGCCTCCCGAAATTACAGGCAGGTCCTCTCCCCGAACTCGTCGTCTTGACATTACATTAGGAACCGACAAATTCAATTACAAACCGAAAATTATCGAACACGCGACAATTCTTTTTCTACACGACAATACTTTTGCAATCGGTAAACTTTGATATTTATAGTAACGATCCCTTCGCATTAGCATCTTTTTTATTTATCGAGCAATGTCACGTGTATGTATGCATATATAGTATTATATACGATTTGATTCAACAGTGACATAAAATTTAAATTTTATATCTGATTTGCGATTTCGTGACAAGAGCAAGTTAATAACTATGATATAAATAGGATGAATAAAAACGTACGAGATGTAGTTGCTTCTAATTTTAATTCCAATCTATCAGGAGAATTTAGAATTTAGTATTGTATATGTACGACTAGAATTGATATATTTTTAAAAGAACAAAAGCCGCACTGCTCACGCACATGTCGCATTACGTGTTGACGCAAAACAACACGCGTATAGGTAATTACCTGTGATTTACGATCCGCTCTTAGTTTGCTGATGCGCATTCCTAATTAAGCAAATCAGAATAGAGCGACTCGATGGAGATTAGTCATGATACCGATTTTCATGTATATGGCGTGGATTCGTGCGTAGGTGTGTCGCTTTGCACGACATCCTGCTTTTCCCAGTTATAATTTGCTTTATGCTTTAAACCTGGCGCTGTCACGCTCTGCCGGAGGTCGAGTGGTACTGCTAGCCGCCAAACTGTAAACTTACCTCGTTGGAGAGCCGCATAAATTAAGTCCTCGAAAGGGAATAGAGAATTTTCTGGCGTCGCGGTTTAATCGATACACTCCGTCGTTGCCGTCGATGTTAGAGGATTCGCTTTGACACATTTACACTAATTTCCCTTTTAAAACCATAATTAAGTCATTTAAAGATACATAAACAAAAGTGCGCGGGAAATATTCTAAAATTCTTGGGAAAGAGTCATTATGTATATATCAACTTCCTGAACGTGTATGCGTTGCGAGGCGTTGATAGAATGAAAATGCAAAACTTGAGGAATCATTCAGCTCGCGCAGCCACTTTGTTTAGCGAGTTGCATGCGATTCATGTACCGCGTGCTCCACGTGCCAGCCATGTAGGCGCTTGATTAGCTTGACGCAACGTTTACCGGAGAATTCGAAAAACTTAAATCACGAAGAAGCGTGATGCGCCGTTTTTCGGTCTAGAAGAGGGGAAGGCAGGGACATCGAGAGGGTCGGACGAATAAATTTCGAAAGTTTATCGCGGAATCGCATGCCGGCTAATGTCACTTTATTACTACTAGAAGACGACAAGACGCGCGCGGAGACAGGCCGAGGAAGGGATCTTGGGGAAAGAGAGAAAAGAGAGGACCGCGGGAAGGATAAGTTCGAAATAACCGGCAGCGACGAGACCCATTGTGCGGCAGGAAACTTGGGAAGTCATAATAATTATCGGCGAACGCGGAATTATATATTGTGTCCCTGTGGCAGCCTGTCGTCGTCGTCGTCGTCGTCGCGAATCGTCTTTGCGCCTCAGCATGCAACTCCAACTGAATATGCAGCTCTGTGACGTTCTGACATTAATAATGCGCGGGGGATCCGCCTTTTATGTCGGAGGTACCAACCGTGGTACCATCGCCGAGGACTCTTCCCAGAAGGAGCTCGCTGATCGTGCCGTTTCGCTCTTGCACAATCCGTGAGGGGCGAGTGTCTGGGTAATTTTTTAAGGAGAGCAAAGCTACCGTGATATCGTGTGTACATTGGGGTCTAATATAAATTTCGCTTTTATATGCTTATTATACGCTTCATTATATTCATCATAAGCTCATCTAAAGGCTTAATATAGATATTGCTGTAATCAATGATAATATAATTGATTGATGAATGCATATATTATGTACAACGTGATGATACAAAGTTACTTTTGGATAAAATAAATGACACTTTTAGGCGTGGCGAATTTTTCCGAAATCGAATGTCGAAACTCCTTAACGTTTGTTCTTTTATACGAA